TCATTCCGAAGCCGGGGAGATCCGCCGAGCAGTCGATGTCGACCTCGTAAAAATGTGACATTCTTCTTGGACCACTTTTAGCTACACGACTGCAAACAGATAATCTCTACCAGACTAACTACACTGGCTATATATAGGAGAATATGTGCCAGGGGAGTTGGGGTTTGACTGGCCGCTTCAGAGGGGAAATTAACCCTCTCGTGGAATGACTCTCCTGGCCAACTATTTCTCGGCGCATTTTACCGAATTCTAGGATCCGTACCCCCGTATGGAGACCTGGAGGAAGCTAGCAAATAGAGAGAATTCTAGGAACGTCCGTGTTATGTTGTTCAAAATTCGGCTGCCTTCTTACCGAAAAGAATTGGGTTCAATTTGGGTCCAGGCACACACGAGCGCAGTAAGATCGTGGCACGATTGTGAAATCGTAGAGTATTCTTCGGATAGTCGTGCGTGTTTCGTATACAAAATTCAGTTATTCAATATTGTTAGAAAAAACTTTTCTATCTTGTGTCCTTGTCGAGCGTTGGTTCTGTCACAGCTTTACTGAAGTCCTACAACATCAAAATCGCGCACGACTCTCTCCGACAATGTGGCATACTGCCACTCACGTTTTTTCTACGATTGCCGCGCGATCACGAACTGAAGATGTGCATGTGTCGCACAACGAGTGTGACAGAAATGTTCTGTATTTCCACTTGTTGCTTCTACAAAGACATACACAACACAATAGTATACAGTTAATTATCGTTTATACCCTTCATATATTTTTATTAATTTGTAACGTGAAAAATTGTCTTGCTTTCATTCAAACTACTGGTGCAAACCACAAACATTCATGAGTATAATCGTTTACTTGGTACATTTCATGGTATGCTTTATTCTTTATGCTTTCGCATCCAAAAGATGACAAGTCCATGATTTATCATATCATTTCTTGTTGAAGTTCACAGTCATAGTTAATCAAATGAGACCAAACACAACTGTTCTTATTTTACAACTGGCAATCAAATGGGTTAAAATGGTCCAAATTCCATTGTACAAGTATTGAGAAAAACACATAAAACATCAATTTTGCAATATTTCTACTGTTATTTACTGTATATTTTTTCGACAACTACATTGAAAGATTTAAAAGCTGTGTGAGCTCGAGGTCCCATTCAACTGACCATCAATTAGCCTCCATAGCTTGCCAAAAACTGGGGGGGGGGGGTCTTCAGGGTCTTAAGGAGCTTTTATGTGCTATTTTCTGTTTGCATATAGACAACATAGCCTGTTTTTTGGGAGCTTTTATGTGCTATTTTCTGATTGCATATAGACAACATAGCCGGCCTGTTTGAATTACGCCCGTTTTTGGACTGGGCTAATCAGAAAACAGCCGAAGACCACCAAAACCTCAGTTATATAAGCCTGCTACGGAGACTACTACCAGTACGCTAGCCAAAGTACAAAAGCATGCAATTCGAGCGCGCAACGTTAGGATGGGAATCTAACTCCTGACCTCTTAGTCCGAAGTCTTGGACACTGGAGGCAACTGGAACCACGTGCAGTCGGCTGTAGTGAAAATTCGCCGGACATAGCCACATATACTTCTGTGTTAGAATGGGTCCCAAAAAGTAGCACAATCGTAGAGTTGACTGGAAAGAAAGTATTGTATTTCCAGTGTGTCTGTCTACCTGTGTGTGTGTTTGTATTTCCGTATGCTTTGGACATCATTAACACTGAGATATTGATATACTAGTACTGTAGTGATATTAGAAATATGTGTTGGTCTTGGTATGGTTGATTTTGGGCCTCCTAGCGGCTTCCTTTGATACTTCAGCAGATTCTACACTCTTTGTATTATCCAATCTGTTATCCACCTTAAAAAATCCACACGAAGGCCACCGTGTCAACCCTCCTCACTCAGGTGTAGGGACTGACACGGTCATCATACTTGGAAAATAATTTGTATCTGTACCTGTACATAAATCTGTATCTGTACATGAATCTGTATCTGTATATGAATATGTATCTGATTGCAAATAAAATAAGTGATTTCCAGATATACATACATACGTGCCTCCCAAAATTTGGCTGATGCTCAACTCAATCAACCAACAAGTTTTCTCCAGAGTTGATTAGATTAACTGAATTGGATGAAAATGTAGGCCTCCTCTTTTCCATTAAATGTAGACCAAAATCGGATTTCTATGAATCATTCTGAAGCGAATATGATTTATTGTGTAGAAAATATAAATCTAAAGACAGCAAAAACACTAAAGACTTCCAAAAGTCGGCACGTTGCATATAATGGAGTGAAATGTATACAGTCTTTTTCTTAACGTCAAACAATGAGACAACCTCTACATAAGGAACACATGACCATTGATATACAGTCAAACTTGTACATACTATTGGCCGCCTCTGCATAAGGACCATCTGGTCATTGATATACAGTCAAACCTGTACCGGTCACAATGGACATGTTATACAACAACGTGTTTTCAAGACTTACCATGTAAAAATTACCATTTTAGAAAGCGGAAACCATAAACGTTTTTGCGTATACAGCTCTTAAAATTTGTCATAAGGTCGTGTGGATAAATCGCTTTTAGGATACCCGGTGGCATTTTATGTGTAATTCATGAGAGTTGACGTTATATTAAACAAAGCCCGCGTATTCTAAATACCTCCATGATACCAGTCTTCTAACCAGACTCAAATCATCACAGGCTAGATTACTGAATGGACTGTATATGGCTCAATATAATATATGTTTTGTTTTAAGAAACCCCAGAACCGCCTTCTAAGTGTATGACGAAGTGTCAAAATGCGTGCAGACGTCTATAGCAGGTTTCAAATATGTACAGTTTATAGCTTGAAGCTGGTGTGTTACGCCCAATGGCGGTTATATAACATACCGCCTATACAGATACAGATAACCACAAGTGTATATAATATGCGATTTGTATAAACTGTTACCTTTTGTTGATTGTCAAAAGTTTACAGGTTGGAGACCGGCCAACATTGAATTTGTATAACCTGTGACTTTATAAATTGAAAGCGATACGTGATGCTTAAGTACATATATGATTTGAAGTACAACATAACACGAGAAAAGTTGCAAAATACACTTCTTTTTCATTGAACTGCATTTGAACTACTACTGCATCAGTCGGTCTCAAATGTGTTGATATCAACTCTTTGTGTGTTAGAATAAGAACAGTATCCCCAAACATAGCAATTGGAAGTTATGCGAAATCACAAATCAAAATTGGCAACTTTATGACTTGTTTCCTTCTAACATCATTGCTGTGAATATGTGCATTGTATGTTCAGTGTAAAATTTGAAGCCGATTCTTCATGTACCAGACAATTCTCCCAACTCAAACATTGCCAGCGTTTTGGATTATGAAGGTCCGGTAGGTAGCGACTTTTGTCTATTTAATTGTATACATTTTAAATTCAGCACTGTTCTGTACTTAACAACATTTATACCATTGTTGGGCGAGCACATTATACCACCTCGAGTATTTTTTTCTAAACCGTAATTTGTCATGAATTTAAAGTGAATGCACAATCTGACTTTGCAGTTATATCAATTGTAGCACTGGAGCAACTGAGCTTCATTCATTTTGATAGCAATTCCACCAACCTACCGATATCTGTTGAGCCACTTGCATTGCAAAATCGTACGATAAATGACATTTTTGTCAGCAGTATCTTACAAACGTTGAAATAGCAAAGTTGCAAGTCAGTTGTAAGTCCATCATGGTTTGAGTGAAAATCTAAGCAAAAATTTCAGCATTTCCTTGTGTGGCTTTGAGTTCTCTTATTGTTGAAGAAATTTTGTCAAGAAACTTAACTAAATTGTATTCTCAAAAAAATACTGTTTGAAGATCGACTTGACTTTACGAGTGACTTAAATGATATCATTTTAATCACTTCCATTCAGTTTCTTACACGAATATCAAAGAAAGGCGATTTGTAGAAGTCAAGATATTTGCAATACCGCTTTTTATTTTGGACAACTGACAAAGACCTAAACCTAAACGCATCTATAAGTGAAAGACTTCCAAACATATCAGTTTATACAGAAACTGTACATGGAAATTCTGAAGTTTTACAAGCAATAAGATTATGATAACGTTCTACTTAAACATGCAGGTCGTCATTTTGTGGTCAAGAATTTACAATGGAAACTTTTTTTGTCCCCAAAAGGATACTTAAATATTGAATGCAAGCAGTCATTGCAATTCTTAATGTCATTGCAGGTACAAAGACGGAAAATGTAGATAAAAAGAATTTCCGTGTTTAACTTATTGCTCATGATGTGGGGACTGTTTGAGCGATCAATCGTTTTCTGACTAAGCTTAAAATTTGAAATAAAATGACCCACTGCGTAACAATTACATTTAAGACCACAATTGCTTTGACAACTTCCTCGATCAACCACCATTTACGACGAAAAGCAAAGTTACTGACAAACATATGATGATGATATGTTCATGTATACAAGCTCAGGATATTTTACGTCAATTTAGATTAAGGTCCTGTCCTCCTTCTAAAAATGCACAAACTAATAAATAAGAAGACGTGAATATACATAACAGGGAGTCTTTTTTGTCTTAAGTGCTGTTTTTCATTGCAATACAGTGTATATCTTACAAGACAAAAAGTGAATCATTGAAACAAGACATAATCTATCCTATAAAACGTATCCGGCACTGGCCACTTCTTACACTTGGACGGAAGAATTAGGTGACTTAAACATATTCTTTATAAGTCTTTCATTACATGTAAAAAGAAATAAAACAATATATGCTGAAACATCATGTTTCAAATGACATTTACAACAGTGCGTCCAAATTGCACGACTTCCCACAAAAGGTACATTTGAAATCTAGAAAATGAATATCTACATTTGAAGTGACCAATGCTTTTATATCTTAGACAAAAAAGAACAACTTTTGAACACTGACTTTTTGTAAAGAAAAACACAAGTGCTGTGTGATATGCTTGATTTTTTTTCTGATAGGACATTTTTACGTCAATTATTTTTTTACAGTGTGAAACTTACTTGAACCGCTGAAAGTTTGGTGAGATGGGGAACATGGATTGAGAGTTCTGTGTGTCGGAGTACTGCCACTGGGGGTTCGAGTTCGGGTACATGCCGACGGGAGAGGAGGGGTTTGGGGACGGCGTCGCCTGGGGGATGCGGCAGCTGCTGTTGTACCACTTGAAGAACGGGTTGTTGATGTGTTGGCGGTAGAGGACCTCGTCTAGTCGGTACGCCTTGCGCTCCGCGTCGGTGTAGGGCGAGTAGATGGAGCTGAGGGAGGGAGGGAAGGAGTAGCCAGGCGTGATCGGGCCGGTGCTGGGGTTCAGGTAGCTGTTAGTCATCCCGTACCCGTTGTTCAGGCTCTCCATGTCCTTCTTGGCTCCCCGGCGGCGTCTCGACCGCCGGCGCTGGCGGAAGTCTCCCCGGGCGAAGTCCTCGATGTTGGCCGGGTGGATGGCCCAGTAGTTCCCCTTGCCGTCCTCGCAGCGGCCGGCCTTGATGAAGCAGTCGTTGAGGGAGAGGTTGTGTCGGACGGAGTTGCGCCAGCCCTGCCCGCGGTTCTGGTAGTACGGGTAGTTGTCGGTGATGTACTGGTAGATAGAGCCGAGGCTCAGCCGTTTGGCGGGAGAGCCCAGGATGGCCTTCGCGATGAGGGCGATGTAAGACAGCGGAGGTTTGACGTCTGCCGAAGGAGGCTCCTTCGGGGTGTCTTCCTTCTTCTCCAGGGACGTGAGGATCTCTTCCATCCCGTTGTTGTCGCTGTTGTCGCCGTCGCCGCTTGCCGGGGTGTCCGTGCCGGGCTTTCCCGGCTCGGCTCCGTCCGTCGGCGGCTTGTCGTCCGTCGGTTGCCGATCCGGACTCACGGTCTCCTCCTGTTTCGGGACGACCACCGGCGGCTCCGCGGCCGATTTCTCGTGAAACGTCGCGTTGTCGTTCTCGTCCTGGTGGTTACAGTCGGCGTAGGTCTTGGGCGGGGGGCTGAGGTACTGGTTCACGGCAACAGGTGGTTGGCTGATGCGCTGGAACGCCGTCGATACCACGGGCGCATACGGGCTCACGCTCGGCGTGGTGATGCCCGTGTCGCCGTAGGCGTAGCTGGAGGGCTCCGGCTTCATGTCGTAGTTCTGCATGGTTGCGCCGAGGGAGCCGCTGGTGTAGGTCGGGCCGAGGTTGTAGCTGTGTCCGAAGGACTGCGTCTGCTGGTCGTGGTGGTAGCTGCAGGAGTCCCCGAAGAGCGCCGGACTGTACTGTCCGCTGTAGCAGGAAGTTTGCATGGTTGTGCGGTCGGCTTGCCGGCGGGTCGGGCGTTATGTATATGAGTGTGGCGGCGGCGGTGACTCGTAAGTTGCGACACGGGGAGATCAAAATCTGGACAGTTTGTGTTCCCGATATGAAGGATTTGTCTGGCAAAAACAAGAAGCTGTCGTCGCGGCTATCGGCTGTTTGGATGAGCACAGCTCAGCGGTTGTGACGGTTCGCAAAGCAAAACACTCAAACACCCGGGAAACTGTTTATGACTCTTTCCTCGACTGGCAGGGCCCTTTACTACGAACTCAATTATGTCCATTCAATATCCCACACGTCCGTCAAAACTTGCGCCGGGCCGTGATTGGTCGAGCCGTATCTATTGCAAATGCAAAAATCATTTGGTCTCTAACCCGTTATAAACCCGCTGGGCATACAGTTTGTCCGGAATTTCGGACCCGTCGAGAGATAGTCGTCAAGGCGTCTTGAACAACAGACCATCCCCACAAACCAACGCCTCCTTATTTTTTCGCTTCCCGCACAAACAAAGCAACACAGGATAATATCACCAATCATTGTTTGCGATCTGTTTACTCATGGCCGTGTAATGTAGTTCTCTCTAAGTTCATATTATCTGTTGTAAACGTGCAGGCGCACGGATGAAGTCTGGTGCCTCGCTGGCTGCCAGAACAAGACCGCTTGTTTGAGCTGGGCTTACGCTAAAAGATCGCCACGAGTCCGTTTCGGACTACCCGTGAAAAACATACTACCATCGCGTCGATGTAGGCCCATTACTTAAACAATGGGGGATTTGAAACTTTGACAAGTTGTTGAGTCGCGGCGTGCTTGGTTCGCCAGGGCTACGGTCGACTCATGGGGGCGGAGTTAACGGTTTGGGGGATAGGTCTTATCACTGACAGGCTATTTCGCTCGAACAATGTCCATTAAGATAAACAACTAGATTATGGGGTTCCCGTACACTCCGCACATATGTAGGTACCAGATTACACGAGGAGAAAACATCCCACTTGTACACAGTTTACACAGCGGACAAGAAGTGCCGTTGGAGACGACCATGATTTTTTTTCATGTGACGTTTGATTCCGTGTGTGAGCATCGCTTTGCAACTGCTAGAATCATCTCTAACCATAACATTTGACAAAATCTGACAGAAAGTTTGTGAGAAAACGGCCGCCATGTTGAGAAAATAGAATCGAACCCTCAGCTCACGACCCGTGTCGCCTGACAGGTGTAATAAATGACGTCATACCAGAATGCCCGGTAGCTCGCTATAGCGATGCCGAAATCCTTGTGTAACCATTCATTAATTTGTAGCCAACGGCATATTTGCGATTAAGATAACAAAGCAACAAATGGAATCGCCAGTTTTTAGCTGTCGTCCGGTGGTTTTTACAGGACACAATAATTGTTTCCTTTACTTTTCAAACATTTTCAACAGCGCAAACTTGATGAGTTTTCTTACTATCGTTTAGGAACACGCACAACGTCACTTCCCTCCAAATAATCGTTACAATGAGTCCTACATCCTCTAGAATTTTAGGAAAAAAATTTTACGGTTTCAAAGCTGTTTTGAAGAAATTCAAGTAATTCAATTTCGACACCAAACTAGCCTTTTCATGGAATGACAAAGATGAGAATATCATATCTAGTTTGTTGAGTTAAGACAACTTTTTCAGGAAAGTTTTCGTTACCGTACGTATAAAGATGTCACAAAGACTTAAGATGATTCCTTATGCACAAGTAAAACAATTGCAACTTTCAGCAAGTACTTCTCGCTAACAAACGTAACGACAACCTTTACGAGTTGCCGGATACCTTAAAACTGCAACATTAGAAAAATTGTTATTGAGGCCTTGTCACAATATCTTGAACACCTGGATATATGAAGTGTGCATAGCTTAGAGATTACTGTTGCTGCATCAGAAATTCTCTTTCGAATTCACCTTTTGTTAAATTCGGGTAAGTTAGGGCACCTGTTGTCATCATGAGACTTGCCGTTAAACTCCTTGAAGCTACTGCACACTCTGGACAACTTTTTATACATTTCCAAGGGCCTAGATTGTTCCAGAAATACATGGCACTGATCACTATCGAATAAAATCCTGTCTTGTTGTGAAATGTTTTTCATAAAGTTTACAATACTAGCGAACTTTTAGTTAACTATTCAGAACCAATCCTATGACTGTTTTGACGGAGCAACACTTTTTAGATGAAAAATCATTCTCTCTTCTTAAAATTGCGACGTATTCTTGAAGAAAGTTTTATCCCTCGCTACCGTTTCTCCCTGCCACACTCCAGTTTGAAGCATAACGAGTCCATGATGAGCGAGTTTTCTCCGCCTGCCGGAGTAGACCCGCCGCGCGGTCTTTGTGTCTTTAATTCCCCCTCTCCATGCGGCCGCCAGGTGTGGCGGCCCACCCCGGAAACTCAGGCTTAGTCTCAGCAACAGGCAGTCGTTGAGGCAGGCGGTCTGAAACTTTATGTATCTCTGTAATGACAAAAGTACTGAATGAACTGTAAATATCTTATGATGTGTTAATATATTTTAGGTGGTATTAGATTTTATCCACTTGACTGATCTTAATACCGTTTGTAAAGTCTGACGCTAATTCAGTCCGCTGACTGCTATGTCAGATTGTGTTGAGTTTCTTCAATAAACCAATCATCATCAATTGTCATTTTTTTCCTGATTTCTACCGCTTTTTTTTACAGTAACTGGAACCACCAGAATACAACAAAGCAATCAGACAGAAAAAGTACGTTTTACCTTAATGTATATTTAAGCGACTTAAAAGATCCTACTTTACGCTTTTCATGCTTAGGGTTGCCAAAACGTTTTAGCATTTAATTACGACTACTTGTTCAGATATGATCAAAAATTTAAGTCTCACTTACAACTATCTTTAATCATGGCTTGAATATCTAATTTCGTGTAGTGTACGTTATCGATCAGTAAAGTTTGGCCTGTAGTAGAGCCTGTTGAGGAGGCTATCCCGTAGATTCCATGTCCCCGGTACGTCCCCACAACTCAGGTGTCATGTGTCAGCCTCACTCCGCAATGATTGGAATTACTCACGGACTATTATTATCAGCAAACCGGATGTAAAGATCATGTTTTAATTACACTCGATCGATAGCCGCATACCTGCGGACGGTCACCCGAACCTTTGCCCCGACAGATTACCCGGTTCGAACCGGGTTCCAACACCGTGGGTCACCCAAAGTTCACGTCGAGCAATTTGGGGGATGAAAACTCTACCCCGGGGCTGTTCTTACTTCTGGGATGACTTAAACTTATCCGCACAGGAAACGCGCGCTAAGTCGGCTCCAGATCCCGAAACCGCTGCCGAGATCAGGGTACGTGACAAGGTTGCGCCCCCAGAACGCCCTGTTTGTGATAAATTCGTATATGATGGTCGCCAAACAATGTCCACGTCGCTGCAGGTTTGCTCACCTCCATGGCGCCCGTGCTATGCGGCCTGCCCGCACCCTCCCACCCGACTCTATCATTTCGTGCGCTCTGTTTACCTTGTCCTGCAATAAAGATCCCGCGATCCAATCGTTCTCAAATTTCAGGAATCTTTCAAAAAAACAAGTGTGACAAATGCGGGAAGGAATATAAGGAAGCAATCGCGTTAAGGGCCCACTCAGACAAAGCACCGGGTTTGTCTCTTTTAAAGGATTTGGGTAAACATTATAATCAGAGAGTCCGGTTTTGCCGGCCGTTTCCTACAAAAGTCAACCCTTCTCGCGGCTTATCAGTGATTTTGGTAGAAATGTGTCACCGATTTGTTTTCTCGCGAATGAAGAAGAAATTAGAGAAGAAAGAACTCTGATAAGTAATTAGAATTGATGACAGAATCCGGACCGCAGAATTAACTCTAACAGCGGAAATCATGAACTGAAGACTAGTCGATCATTTGATGAAGTTAACACTATTACTCGTACTGCTACAGACCAATCGGAGAAAAGGATAGAAGGAAAACACATATAGCGAGGTATCTCCGTACCTTTCAACTAAGGCGGTGATCATTCAGTGACCAAAGCTCTCATCGGTAGTACAATCACAAACGAATTTTATTGATAAAAAAATGTATTTCGTAAGATTTTCGTGTCTTGTTGCCTTTCAAATTGTACTTTTATACCATATACTATATTCAACTTTTAATTATGTCGCCCAGGTCATACAAAGTTAGGGGTCATAAAGGGGCCTCATTTTGTGCAAGCCGATATTGAATTATAGGAAACAATAGGAGCTCTTGTTAATTTTTTTGTGGAGTAAAATGAAGTAATTGTGTGGTTACAATTCTTTTTGTCCAAAGGACCAAAGTATATAGATAGGAATAGTATGACTATCTACCCATTTAGAAGTGTAGTTTTTTAGTGTATTTTTCATGTAGAACTCTTCAAGTACTGAACAATAGAACATTAATTTTATCGCTATTGTGGCATCGGCGTATTTCGCGAAACAATGTAATCTTGTATCAACCCAGCTGCGCTTCAGCTTGGTTAAAATTTTACCCATCATTGTTGGTGTAGATCGTCAAGACTGCTACATATCAAGTAAGTTCTTAATCCACCAGATAGCAAAATAGTTACGTAAAAAAGACGTAATATGTTGCTTGACAAACTTTAACCATACTACAGTACTATATGTATGTTGGAGGACACTATCTTGTATTATTATGAGTGATCGCGTACAGTACACTGTATATTTGCTGTTGTCAAAATTGGAGACAGTTGAACGGTACAACAGGTGGTTGTGGCTATGGGGTGGTCTTGTCGACATCGAAACAGTAGCATTCTGGTAGGAAAATATACATATACCGTGTGTTAGATTGTCGAGTGTCGTTAGATTCAGGGGTTCGCTGTCGGGTGCTCCCTCGGCGACCGATCGCTAAAGCCAAAGATTGCCAACCAAAGTGCCCGACCATATTCGTCGTGTGATCGCAAACTGGGGGCATTCGTGGGATAGTCGTGCATGTGTCGTACAAATCCAACCGTTACGTTGAGGAAAATGCGGTCTTAGATGGCTTGTCGGGGGCTGATTCTGACACCAATGATAGGACATCAAGATCGCACGACAGCATGATCTTGACCTTGGAGGTTACCGAAAGACAATTGAAAGATCACTGAAAGGTCACTAAGCGCTTACTGTCTTAATACTGAGATATTTGTTCCAATTTTTGAACGCCCAACCTGGCGCTCGAGCTCTCCAAACATCTATTTCTATACAACCCCATCATAACCATCCAAAGCCAAGCGGCGTGCCGCCTATACTCCATTCCACAACTTTCCCAATTAGCTTGGAGATGAAGGATATTTTCCCCTTCTCTCTTGAGTACGGCACTTGTGCATTATGATTTTGTTTGTGTCTTTATTTACTTATTTACTGTAGTGTGTACAGTACCAGGCATGGACCCATAGTGAACCGACCCGACACAATAGACTGCTATCTTTGTTTATTTCTAGAAAGAAAATGTAAATGTGTACATAACTTCTTTTCGACAGCATTGAGATTTCCCACCAAGGATAGCGAGGTTAGTAGAAACAATACAACATTAGAAAATTGTTATCTTCTTCCTGAATAACCAGATATAACACACATAGATACCAGATGAAAAACCTTATATCTGCGTCTACATAAGTTTAAACCCTTGCCGTCATTTTGTTGCACAGGAGGCCATTTTGAAAACCAGAAT